GAAACATTCTTCGATGGTTACCAGGGATGGGAGGGGGTGTGAGGGAAAATCACTAACTATATAGTAGACATGTGCTACCTTTGGTGAAGGGAAAGACAATACACAATATGGGTGAAGTCAGCACAACATAACCAAGGCAAAGGGAGACACTGAAAGGTATGCAAGAGTAAAAGGCAACAACAGTAAAAACTACTCCACGTACAATCCTACAACAAGAGTAATTAACAATAATGTTTGAGTAGATACTTAGGTAGTTATGTAAGCTGAACTGGGGTGGGAGGGCCATAAACAAACACCTTCCGGACTGAGATAATGGACTAGAGGGCTAGGGACTATAATCTCAGGGACATCTATGTCAAATGGCATAACATAGTCAACAAAGACAATGTTCTACATCCTACTCTGGTGAGTAGTGACTGGGGTCTTAAAAGCTTGCAAGCAGCATCTAAGTCACAACTATTGGCCTCTTTCCATCTGGAGCAAAGAAGAGTGAAGAAAACCAAAGACTCAAGGAAAACAATTAGTCCAAAGGACTAATGGACCACATGAACCACAGCATCCACTAACCTGAGACCAGAAGAACTAGATGGTGCTTGCTTGGCTACCACCACCAAGCAATTAGAAGGTATTGGATAGAGTGGGAGGAAAATGTAGAACAAAATTCAAAATCATTAAAAAACAAAAAACAGACTTACAGGTATGATAGAATCTGGTGGAACCCCTGAGACTATGGCCCTTAGACACAGTTTTAACTTAGAACTGAAGCCACTCCCAGAGATCACCTTTCAGCTACACAAAAGACAGGCCTATAAAGGGAACAATAACACCTGGGAGGAACATACTCCTCAGAACATCAACCATACAAAAGGGCAGCATTTGCCCAAGAGAAGCTAAGAAGGCAGGAAGGGGCAGGAAAACTGGGCTAAGGGAAACAGGGAACCCAAGGTGGAAATGCGGAAGAGTGCTGACTTACTGCGGGGATTGCAACCAATGTCACGGAACAATCTGCGTATAAATTGTTGTATGGGAAACTAATTTACTTATAAACTTTCACCTAAACCGCAAGAAAATATATTAAAAAAAAAAAAAAAAAAGACTGGAGTAGTGGCAAATGACAAGTCTTGAGAAACATACACAGACCAGATCATAAAAAGGCTTTTAAGTCCCATTAAGGTGTTTGAAGTTTGTCTTGAAGACACTGAATTGTTTTAATAAGATGAGTGATATGATCAGATTTGCACTTTAAAATGACCACTCTAATTACAGTGCAGTAGTCATTCAAAATGTCTGCTGAACATGTGAATAGCTAAGAGTCATTTGCATAATTAAAACATATTTAAGGACTTCAGAAAAAAAGAGAAATCAGTGAATCAGTACTAGCTGTGATGCCCCAGAAAGGTTTTATGGAGGAGTTTAACTGGGCTTCTGAAATGCAGGATTTTGATAGGGTGCTTCAAGGAACAGAACAACATTCTAGGTTGGAGGCATCAAGGGTTCAAGGAAGATAATGAGCTAAGATGTTGAGCAAGTGTAAAGTGAATTCATAGAAGAATGAATGGCTCAGTTCAGTGGGTGCTAGATCTGGTGAGGTAGATTAGCACAGGGGATGCAGGGCCTTAAATGACACTCAAGATTTAGACTACACCAGGCAACAGACAGTTTATGGAGGGTCTGTAAAGAAAAGAGGCATACTCCATGTATTGCTTTGGGAATATCTAATACGTATTGAGGAGCCTTGGTGGCCTGGTTAAGCACTCAGCTGCTAACCGAGAGGTCAGCAGTTCGAACCCATCAGCAGCTCCATGGGAGAAAACACCTGGCTATCTGCTCCCACAAAGATTACAGCCTAGGAAGCCCATAAAGATTACAACCTAGTTCTACTCCGTCATATAGGGTAGTTACAAGTTGAAGTCCAACGGAAGGCACACAACAATATGAACCGAGAGAGATTAAAACCAGGTTTCAGGCAACCAGACTTTATGAATAACGTGATAAAGGAATGTGAAGAAAAAAATGATGCAGGAAACTTGCTGAAAGATACATATCAAAAGAAGAAAGAGAGTCCAGGAGGGAGAAGCAAAAGCGTAAGATTGAGTGACAATGCGAAACAAAGGTTACCTCACACTTCACCTTCCCAGACTCACCCCTATTAACACTCCCTGGGAGGCTGTTTGAGTGAAGGCGTTTCTAGCAGTTTTCATGATAATCTGGAATGGGAGGGTCTTCCCTTTTGTCCAGTTGTTTAACCTGTGTTTACATGTAGGAACTCTTTTTTGAACCCCTTTTGTTTAGAGAATGAGAAAGGAACATCTGAACAAATAAAAGGCAGCACTGAGGCCATTCTTAAATTCCCTACACCCAGTCATGGGAGTCTCAGAACCCATTTGGCTAAAAGGACACCCTCCCTAGGCTATTTGAGTTTCCCTTGCTACCAGCCCTTTGTACCCTTAGTAACTATAAGAAGCAAAACAATAAACTCAGTTGTTCTATTGCCTCCGGTTTGAATTCAGGTCACTTTGGTCTCCCAAAACAATAAATTATTTTAATAGTACTTAGGGATACTTACAAATAAATAAATAAATAAAACCTGCCAAAATTGTATAACAAAACCTCCAGAGTACAGTAGCCCAATACCTGAGAGAAACTGACCTAGTAAATATCATAGCCTTCATCCAAAGGAATAATGCCATTTGTAGGTAGATCTTGTAGAAAATTCGACAAATCCCTGGCCCATAGAAACTAATTCTATTTTCTCCATCTTTTTCAAAGTCAGAAAAACCAAGCTTCTCACAATAGGCCCATACATTGTTTATTCTACTTTGTTGCAGGTGAGGAAACTAAAGTTGCCTTCTTTAAAGTGTGGGGACATTCATGGCCCTAAATTATACTCCAAACTAGATGGTTTCAGTGCTGGAGCAAATATGAATGCCTTGACTAAAGTCCATCAATTACCAGGAAAGTAATGGATTCTTCTGGATTGGCATTTCATTTGTCATCACTTAACCGATGACTGTTGGGACGTTTTAGAACATCAAATGGATGTTTGTTAGGCCTGATTAAGTGATAAATCGTCTCCGGTTGTTTCCAAGCTAATTATGGGCTTCTTCTTGTCTCTTTTTGATTCCCACAGAGTCCATAATAAGGGTAGTTAACTATGAAAACATTAGAAGAAGAAACAAGGTGTCAACGTACATATAATTTATCTATTATAGCATTCTAATCTGCTCATACACTGAGAATCAAATTGCTGAATGAACTTAACCAAATTTCCTAAACAAGTTAGGCATATTTTCGAGTGGCTATGCCAAGGGGTGGCTTGGGGGTGTTTTACATCTCCAGAGACTGCAAGATAAGGAGATAAGTTAAAACAATGTGTGGGCTGCAGATATGCAACTTCAAGTCAAGTCCCCAAACTTCCTTCTAACCATATTACCGCCCCTGCTCCTACCCAGAAATACTTACAGAGGCAGCTCAGACATTTCCCCTGCTTTGAAAGAAGAGACAGCAACCAGCCAGAAAATACATAAAAAGTTGTTTGCTTTGCTTTATTTTCTAAAATATTAATATAATATATGGACACTTTGTTTTTTCCAACGTGTCTGGAACTATAGTTTACTAAAGAACATGCATAAGGAGGCCATAAAACTTTCTTGATCAAAGAGAGATCATCCTCTGACATTCCATGGCATCAGAAAGTTCTACTTCTTCTTGATTAGAGTATGTTTTAATTGAGGTAAGATATTTCTAACAAAAAGAATACCAAAGCTGCCTATAACATCGTTAGCAAGGAGTTTATCTGATTGAAGTTGCTGTAACTATAATCTGAAGTCAGATACACTAGGAAATCCCAGATTTCCTAGAGGGGAATATGTTATGCAGAATTTCTCAAACATCTTGGACCACAAAAACTTTTTTTAACACAAACTAACATCTCTCAGAAGTGAGGAGCAATATGGAAAATACTCTATTCTGCTATTGACTACGAGTTGTCAGTAGCAGACACTGGGACAAGGGAAGGAGGAAAACAACGAGACACTGGGTTAGCTCAGTTGAAAAGAAGGGAGGACGGGCGTAGAAGTCGGAGTGAGGGAAGGCTGAAATCACGCTTTGCCTGCTCCACAATTTCAAGAAATACTCAATGCCAGACTATTTATTAGGGAAATAACTAAGAACCTTGAATATTATCCTTTTTGAAACTTGACTTTTATGTTTACCAACATCTGTGATCTTTATTTAATTGTTCCTAGGTAGTTCAAGGCTCTTCTAAAACCCTAGGAATCACCAGCTGCCTAGATAATACTGCATGTATGTACTGAGAAATACATTTCTTCTTTTGAATGAATATTAGAGTCAAACACTTGACCTAACCTGACGGATAACTAGAGACAAAGGCTAGTCATCTTAGTTATGCCACCGACTGAATGTATGAACTTGATCTCAAGGCCTCCTTAGTTTCCCCATTGGTACAGCATAAGGACCCTTTGGTTCTAAATGTCTCTTGCAATGCGCTCAGGAAAGACAAAACTACATTACGTCTGGTTTCTAAATGGCAGTTGTTACCCACTGGGCAACAGCTGAAGGTGGCGTATGATGTCTTCTCCCTTGCCGAATTTGTAGGAAATGTGTAAGCCGCTCTCTTTTCTGGGAAGATTTCAGCACGTCATTCCTGTCTAAAAGATCTCCCTTGAGGTGGCTTCCCGCCCTGGAACTCCACGAACTACTTCCTGAACTGTTCTATAAAAATCTTATAACCACAAGCGTCTGACCTCTCAGCTCATGAGGCATAAAAGTGCAATGTTTGGCTGCCAAATCCCTTGAACAACACACTAGCTCTTTAATTCTAACAAGACCTAAAAGTCGAGTGAAAATCTGATGCCACCAGTTACCACCTCATACTTTAAAAACTTTATGACTGCTTTCGCCGGCCATTTCCCAAATAAATACCGTTCATATGGGCATCCACAGAGAAGAAGGGCCGCCCGGGATCCCGCCTGCCTTACCTGGTTGAAATGCAGCTGCCCTAGCTCCGGGGCGCCTTTCACGGGGGCGGATCCCAGCAGCTCCAGCAGGCGCCCGAGCTGCGGCACCGACAGGCTTCGATTCGCGCCGAACACGCTCAGCACATCCTCGCTGAAGGCGAGTCCATGCCCTGCCGCCGCTTCTCCGAGGCCCGCGGCCGCCAGCAGAAGGAGCCCGGCCACCGCCTGGCCCGGGGCCATCCGGATCAGTTCTGTCCCTCGACGACCCTCGACCGGCTGGTGCGCGGAGATGCGTGCTGGACGCACCGGTGTCGGTGCCCAAGGGCTCACGGCTCAGGCGGCGGCTCCGGCCTGAGTCAGCGGTGGCACAGGGCGCTTCTGGTCCTCGGCTGCCTTCGAAAGAGCAGCAGTCCGTGACCTGTGGGGCATTGAAGAGGCTGCGCAACCTAGGGGCAGCGATAGGCAGAGCGGGCCCCCCGGGCCTCCTGGAGAGCCTGAGATAAAGGGGACAAAGGAGGACAGAGATAAATGCCACCTGGCCACACGCCGGCCGGACCAGGAAGCCTGGCGTGGCCGGAGCCCTCAAACGCCAGGCCGGGCATGGGGCCAGCAGCTACCCTGGAGCCGGGTTTGCAAACGCCCCAGGATCTGCTTAGAGTGTTGTGACACACGCTCCTCCCGAATATAAAGCCCCAAACCACGCCACTTCTTAGGAAGAACTAAAACCACCACTAGCTATAGAACCCCACCTCCTCTTCCTCTTTCTGCTTAATTCCCTCCGCAGCAAACTAAGAAAGTGTGAGACTTGCAGTCCCAAGGAGCTGCAGAAAACGACCCCTTTGGAGTTCCCGAGTTTGAACGTCTAGACCAGATCCTCCCTCTCCCCAGATCCTTTCTGGGCTTGGCAAACTGGTAGGAAAGTCTCACTAGCCTCTCACCTTGCCTCTGTCTGCCTGTCTCTGAGTCTTTGTATGTGTCTACGTGAGACTGACTCTTTCCCTCCCCACTTTATCTCTGGTCGGTCCGCTGTGAAACTCCGGGAGCCGGCCCTGCGCCTTTTACAGATAGGAGGAGGGCCCTGTCCCCGCCTCTGCAGCACGTGGTGACACACTCCCCTAGCCTGAACTCCCGGACGCGTCCACGCCGGGGCATATAGCCCGGGGCGCCTCTCCGCTGGCCTTTCCTCTCTGCCTCGGCTGCTCAATCCCAGCTTCAGCCGCGCGCGCTTCCCGCTCTCTCGCGCTCCAGGGTTACCTGGATGCCACCTCCGTGTCGGAGTCCCCAGCCTCCTCTCTCGTGTGGCTGGTCCACCTGTTTGTTACTCTGTTGGAACAGCTTCCTGGAATGGAATCTGGGGCCCTTTCATTGCCTAAGAGACTAACAGAAATTGCTTTCTGTCTAACTTCTTAAAATCAGAGAAAGAGGAAACCAAATCTGTAGCGTGGTTAAGAGGCTAGCGGAGCCAGAACAGCCCATGCCTGCCCTTCCGGACGCTGCACAGGATATCCGCGGATCAGAGTGAATATTTGTTTGTTCAGGTGAGAGTTCAAGAAAAGCTGACTTAGGTGTGAGGTCAACAAGTTTGTGCAAAGCGGTGTTTGAGAGCAAAGGTTGTGTCTGCTGGATATGATTGTCCAAAAATAAAGTGAAACCATGATTCACTGTTACATGGTGTTATGGACTAACTGTGTCCCCACAAAATGTGTGTCAATTTGATTAGACCATGATTCCCTGTATTGTGTGATTGTCCACCATTTTGTCATCTGATGTGATTTTCCTGTGTGTTGTAAATCCTACCTCTATGATGTTAATGAGGCAGGATTAGAGGCAGTTATGTTAATGAGACAAGACACAATCTACCAGATTAGATTGTGTTTTAAATCAATCTCTTTTGAGATATAAAAGAGACAAGTGAGCAGAGAGACGGGGGACCTCATACCACCAAGAAAGCAGCGCCAGGAGCAGAGTGCGTCCTTTGAACCTGAGAAGCTCCTAGAACAAAGGGAGACTGATAACAGGAACCTTCCCCCAGAGCCCACACAGACAGAAAGTCTTCCCCTGGAGCTGGCGCCCTGAATTTGGACTTCTAGCCTACTAGACTGTGAGAGAATAAATTTCTCTTTGTTAAAGCCATCCACCTGTGGTACTTCTGTTATAGCAGCACTAGATAACTTAAGACATATGGCTAAGGACAATAATAAGAATTCAAACTGCTATTCTTGCCTTAAAGGAGCCCTCGTGGCACAGTGGTTAAGCCCTAGGCAGCTGCTCCGCAGGAGAAAGGTGTGGCAATCTGCTGCTTTAAGGATTACAGCCTTGGAAACCCTATGGGGCAGTTCTACTCTGTCTTGTAGGATCGCTATGTGCCAGAATCAACTGGCCAGCAATGGGTTTTTAGTATTCTTGCTTTTCGTTGAAGGAGTGTACCCGTAGTATGGAAAACTCATCTGCTAAAAGAGCACATTTTAAAAGAGGTAGTCCAGATCTCTGGGCAAGGAGATGGGGAAGGGGAAAGAATCTCCTCTTTCATGAGGAACTTTGAGACCCACCATGGAAGAAAGAGACAGAGAACATCCAGGAGGATGAAGATCTAGGTGGACTCAGCTGAAGGACTGTTATGTGGAAGAGGGTTTAACTGTATTCTAAGTCCCGAGGGCAGAAGACAGCAGTAACAGGACAAAGTTACCAAGAAGCAAGTTTCTGCACAATATAAGGCACAGCTGCTTTGGGAGGTAGTGAGTTCCCCACCGTTGAAAGTGATTCGAAACAACAGTTCCTGGGTGACCACCTACAGGATGTGTGGTGGAAGGATTCCTGCAGTACGGGGGAGGTGAACTAAGTGATCTCAACGGTGTGCCCCTTCCAATTATAAAATCTGTGCATTTGTTAATGTACAGAATTACACTGATGCTCAAAAGACAAATGTTTCACCCGAGGACCAGAAGTCCATTCATGTCACAGCAGAGCTTTTAAATTACTCAGCTAGTGGGACTCTTCAAGCCTTTGATTAGATTTTTAAATATAGTTTGTTGCCTATTTTTCCCTTTAACCTCAGTGACTCAAGGTGATTCTTGGAAACTGCTGGACCCTCAAGAAGGCTCATCTACACCCAACAATTTTCAGTTCCAGCTTGAACTGCAACTAAATTCATTTATAAGATGTTGGATTTTTCACAAATATAAATGAATTTTAAATAATAAAAATCTTATAGTGTAGATTTTTTGAAAGCTTAATTTATTTATCAGTCATTCATGTTTACATACATATATTTTGCCAGCCCACCAACCCCATAAGACAATAAACAGTAAAATAAATAATAATCAACCTACGTAGCAACTTTACTAAGTACAGATAATATAAGCATCAATTAAGAGAAAGAATTCAGAAAATTACAAGTTACTAACTACCAAAGTACTAGTCCAATGAAGTTTTAGGCCCCAAGACATGGCATTCTATTGACGATGTCATTACTGGAGAAAAATACTTACAATTTTAAATATAATGATTTTTCTAGGAAATTTGCATTAAAGGTAAAATAATTTTAAATGTTAATAATGAAGGTAGCATGCCAAGAACACTGGCCAAAGAGTGGAAAGATACCCTTTGTATTTCTGACTCAGCTACCTGGAAAACCTGAGAAAGTCCTTTGACCTAACCAGGATTCAAGTTCCTCATCTATAAAAAAAGAAAATTGGAATAGAAGAACTTTAACTGTCCATTCCAGCCTTTCTATTTCTAACTGTCTCATTTAGAAGTCATCTATCAGAATACAACAACACGAAACACTGAGAAGAGAAATAAAAGTTCAGTTCTCCAACTGAAAGGAGAGTCAACTTCTAATGTCACTTTTTCTAATAGTTTCAAATTTTTCTTACTCCAAATCTTTTGTTACTATTGAAAATCAGGAGCAAATGTCTTCTTTTGAATTTTTCATGCATATGTTTCCCTGTGGAAAGATTCATGAGCAAATCTAAGAAACAGCAAGTCCCTTTCTCTTCTTCTTCCCCTTCCCTTCACTTCCTTTCCATTCCAGTCCTAAAGCCATTAGTTGGAGCAGAGCACAGTAGGTGTCTGCAGGAAGGGGAGCACAAGGCCCAGAAGTGCTTTGGAGCATGAGCAAGGGAAGGAGGGCATCCAAGTAGGAGGACAACGTATTGTGGACAATTAGAGCCCAAGCAGGGTAAAGAAGGTGTCTAGATTTGGGAAGGGGACATGGAAAGCCAGACGGTGCCTCCCTAATGGAATAAGAGTATCAGAGCCCAAGCATGATGAGAGGAGCATCTTTCCCAGCATGGGGTGTCAGAGCTCAAGCTGAAAGAGGACAGCATCTGTGGAAAATGGGGTTCAGTTTTGGATATCAGAAGCAGAGCAAAGAGTGGAGAGCACCCATGAGTGCAGAGTGAGAGAGGGAGGTAGGCCAGCATGGAGAGCCAGAGCCTGAGTAGGTGAAGAAGGTGTCTACAGTTGAGGGTGCTCCTACATAGAATGTCAGAGACAGACAAGGGTAAGGAGGGTGACCTTGCAGAGGAATGGCCTAGCATCTAGCATGAGTCTGAGCAGTGAAGAGGATGGCTGGCGTGGAGTATCAGAACCCAAAGAGGTTAAGGAGAGAATCAGTGGGTAAGGGGATGGCAGCAGAAATGGAAGATTAGCGTGATGATCAATTGTATGTGTCAACTGGGCTAGGTTATAATTCTCAGTGGTTTGGCAGACACTGGATAGGTTGCTGTTCCGTAATGTAACGTAATCACTTTCCATGATGTGATCAACCATTCAGTTGAAACGGAACTTTTCTTGGGATATGTGGTCTGCCTCTAGAATATAAATGGATGTTCTGGCAGAGCTCACTTTCTCACAGCCCAGCACTCTTCTCATCACCTGACCTACAGATCTTGGAACATTAGCCTTCAAAAGTCTTCAGTCTGACACCTGACCTGAGGATTTTGGATTTGCCAGCCTCCCACAATCCCATGAGCCAGCAGAGGTCTCCAGCCTGCTACCACCTGACCTACAGATTTGAGACTTGCTACCCCCACAATTGCCAGCCCCCACAACTGCAAGCCCCCACAACTGCCAGAGCCATTTCCTTGAAATATGTATACTTTCTCCTCACTTATCAACTATCTATTTAACCAACATTTCACATTTACTACAATAGTAAAAAGTCTACTATCCAACTATCTTGCACATTAACTATATACATCTGGCAGTAACAAACCCGAGTTGTGAGGCAAGAGTAACGCTGGCTTTGATGGTTAAGGTTATGTGTCAACTTGGATGGGCCATGATTTTCAGTGGTTTGGCAATAATGTAATGATGTAACCTGGCAGTTATGTAATGATGTAACTTGGCAGTTGTGTAATGATGTAGTCATCCTCCATTTTGTGATCTGATATGGTCATTCTCTATTTTTACATAACACCAATTTTGCATAATCACCTGGTCTTTGGAACCTAAACCATGTCAGTAAGTGAGGAAAGGCTGTGTGTGTGTGTGTGTGTGTGTGTGTGTGTGTTTATACATATATGTGTGTGTGTGTGTATATATGTATATATACCTGTCTCACTGGTTTTGCTCTTTTAACACGAACTAAGACAATTAGTCATACATAGGGGGATTAATTAAATATATAAAAGATAATGAGGGCCAGTTTTCTCACTATAGGAGAAGAAAGTTGCAAAGCCACAGTCTTTGCAATTGCCCATATATATGTGGAAGTTGGCTAATGAAAAAGGAAGACAGAGGAAGAATTGATGTATTCAAACTGTGGTGTTGACAAACAATACTGAATATACCATGGACTGCTGAAAGAATGAACAAATCAGTCTTAGAAGAAATACAACCAGAATGCCAATTAGAGTGAGGATGGAGAGACTTCAACTTGCTTACTTTGGACACATCATCAGGAAGGACCAACTGCTAGAAAAGGACATATATTTGGTAAAGAAGAGGGCCAACAAAAATGAGGAAAACCCTCAATGAGTTGGATTGACACAATAGCCACAACAATGGACTCAAGCATACCAACAATCATGAAAGTGGGGCAG